GTAAAACTTCTATTCTTCAGGGCACGAAGCGAATCACTCTCTTAGTAGAGTCTGGTGGCTGTGTGTGGTTTGGGTGCATAGATAACATATGGGAGATAGGGTCCTAGATAAGAGATTTGAGCAAGCTTATATCCAGGAGAGAACGTTCTTCTTAAAACCTCGTTTTGTTAAAGATAGGTCACTGGGTTTGAAAATGAAACCATTTGGATTTTTATTTTAAACTTTGATTTATAATTGTTTTCATTAGGTAGAAATTAAAGGTGGAGCACATGATTATTACAATGTCCTTCCCAATAAAAGCCTGTGGAAAGCTTATATGGAAAATGGGAAGAAGTTGGGAATAGAATTCATTTCAGAAGATGCGATGTTGAGTACCCCATCAGGTAATTCATTCTTTCTTAACACTGTCATTCAGATACTGAGGGAAGGGAAAATACCATGTGGGTTAAATGAGGTTGTCGACTGGCTGTGGAGGCGAATGGTGGTGATGGGGGTGACTGCCTATTGGTTTCTTGACACGGGTCTTCACAAACTCAGTAGTAAGGGGAAGGAACTAATGGACTGGTCAGTCAATGACTGTCAGTGAGCAGATTTCAAAATCACCAACCTACTTTTTGCTCTGTATTTTAAGCATTTCTAGTATTTAAGCTTTCATCTAATTTCAAAGTAAACTGTCAAAAGAACAGAATTTTAGTTTTTCTCCTCAAAATAAGATCACTTAATTACCTGGGGCATTTTAGACTTCTGACGTGTAAAATACAACTATTCGAATTTAAATAAGCCTAAGTATATCTTAACGATCCCTGTTTGCCTAGTGGTTACACATTGGCTGCTAACTGCAAGGTCAGCAGTTTGAGAGCACCAGCTGCTCCTGGGAGGAGAGACGAGGCTCTGTACCCTTGCACAGTTTGTGTCTCAGAAACTTACAGGGCAGTTCTGTCTCCTCAGGTTGCTATGAGTCCGCATCTACTGGATGGCAGGGGGTGTGGTTTTGGAAGTATACTTTAGGGTTATTTAACTTTTTCCCCTTTATTTTTTTATTATTATTATTATTTTTTTTAACTTTTTCCCCTTTAAATGCATTTGATAGCCATATGTTTTTCTATTCCTAAAATATAATGCTTTTTGATGATATAGAGACTCAAAGGGAATGTGGTGATGATAGTGCCATTTGTTGATAGAGGAGTTTAAGAGAAAAGACAGGTTGTATCACATTGTTGTTGATGTTAGTTGCAGTGGGGATGTTATGGGCGACAGAACTAAATGTTAACCCCATCTGTGCCACCCTCGTAAGTCAGTCATGTGAGGGCTTTCCTGTGTGTTGCTGACCTTGACTTTATGAAGTATGAGGCCCTTTCCCAGTGATTGGCCCCCTTTTCACGTGTCCAAAGTAAGCAAGAGTAAGTCTAAACATCCTCGCTTCTAAGCTGTACTTCTGACTGTACTTCCTCCAAGAATGATTTGTTCATTCTTTTAATAAACACACAAAAACCCACCCAGACTCAACTGCCATCACGTCAGTGTCGACTCCAAGCGATCCTACAGGACCGGGAAGTCCTCTGGGTTTCCAAGGCTGTAACTCTTTACGGGAGGAGTAGAAACCCTCATTTTTCTCCTGGGGGCGTGGCTAGTAGTTTCAAACTGCTGACCTGGAGGTTAGCAGCCCAACGGGTAACCCTCTAGCCCACCAGTGCCCCTTAGTCTTTTCGTAGTTCATGGTTTGGTCACTGCTCTTCACCAGGACCACTGTTTTGAGTGCATCCATTCTTCTCTGTCTGTTCCTTGTCATCGTCTAGGTTTTGTATGTAATAAGGAAATTTAAAATACCATGGTTTAAAGCTTCTTTCGCAGCAGGTTTGCTCAAGTAAATCATTTGATTTCTTGACTCCTGCTTGCTTTGACTGGGGTATAAATTGGTCACAGTTCCTGGTGTGTTATATGAATAATTTAGCATGTTCAATTTGAGGCGCCTAGAATATTTGCAAAGGTGGCCTGGTGGCCCAGTGGCTTCCTCATTGGGTGCCAGCTGGAAGGCCATCAGTTCAAACTCACTAACCACTCCATTGGCTCAAGATGAGACTGTGCTTCTGCAAAGTTGCGGTCTCAGAAACCGTAAGGCAGTGGTTCTCACCTGTGGGTCGTGACCCCTTTGGGTTTGAATGACCCTTTCACAAGGGTAGCCCAATTCATAACAGTAGCAAAATGACAGTTATGAAGTAGCAACAAAATAATTTTATGGTTGGGGGGGTCACCACAACAGGAGGAACTGTATGAAAGGGTCGAGACATTGGGAAGGTTGAGAACCACTGCCTTAAAGAATGGTTATACCCTGGCCTCTAGAGTCACTGTGAATCGGAATCACCTTCATGGTAATAGGTTTGGATTTGTTTGTTTTTATAGAGTTTCTAAATAGAATTTTCCAATAGCCTATTGAATTTGGGCCCCCTGAAAGGTATATCTAGATTGTAGATATAGGGATTGGGAGTTTATGGAAAATAACGTAAGCTATAGGCGTTAGTGAGCTGGTCTGAGTACATACAAAGAGACCCAAAGATGAAGCTCCGGAGACCAACAGCACTGAGGAGAGAGGCAAAGGGAAGGGAGCTAGAGGAGATGATGGAGGAAGGTCGGAGAGAAAGCTAGCTGTCGAGGAGGGCGTGGGATCATGGAAGCCACGGGACTGGAGAATTTCTCGGAGGAGTAAGGCATTTTAGGCATGGTAGACGTTGACCAAGATAATGTCACCTGGTGTCCACTGGACTAGCAATTCGAAACTTAAGAGTTGGCTTGAAGAAAAAACTTAAAGGCTGGTTGGATTAACTGGTGCGCTTGCAAAGGCAGACTCTTCATTTTCAAGAACAGTTAGCGTTAAAGGAAAGCAAACTGAAAAACCCGACAACTCTGAAACACACTGCCATCTGTGAAAAGAGACAAGATGGAGCGAGAGAGCAAGCTCAGACATGACAGCGACTGAGGCGGGTGCACGTCCAACGCTGTTCGTTCTGTTGTGCGTAAGGTTGCTCTGAGCTGGAACCGACTGGACAGCACTGAAGACACAACAGTGGGAGAGGGTGGAAGCAGATGCCGGTAAATGTTCAGGAGAGAGGGCAGGGCGTTCAGACACGGCTCCCTAAGCAGCTGTTGCGAGCACGTGGGTGAGCATTGACCTGGTGGACGGAGGATTGAAAGGAAGCAGGTGGCCAGGGCATCCGAGTTTTGTGTTGTTCCCCCCACACACACACACACACTGAGTTGTCAGCTGAGGAAGAAGACCATGAATCCACAGTTGTGGCAGTCTTCGTAGTCATGCATGAGGAAGCTTCAAAAAGTTTGTGGAAAAATTGAGTAAAAAGATCATGGAATTTTCCCATATACTTTTAGAAGCCCCCTTACATGTTTGCCCTAGCCAGTTTCTTCAGTCTAGCAGTAGGAGAAAGAATGCTGGTTAGGAGAAGGAAGTGCCTATAGGTTAAGGCTTATGGGTGCAAGGGTCTGGCTCTACAAGGAAGGTCTTGGAATAGGCTGCAGGCCTTCGCCTGTCTGGTGTCCTGTTGTTTCATAACCGCTGTGTCTGCAACCGTTTCTGGCAGCCTAAGAACATGGTGAATTATTCTCTCAAGCAGTACATTGTCACGGAGGCCGCTTGCCTCCGTTCAAAGTCCGCCCTCAGCCTGGTTTTACCTTTAACCTAGTAGCGATGAGACTGGGGGTGTTATTTAATATCTGTAACTCATATCTGATGGTTTTCCCATGTCATCATCCAGTGGAAATGGCTCAAAATAGTCAATGAGAACACATCTACTTCCAAAAAATCAGCCACTGTGTAGGCTCAGCGCTCACTTTCACTCTGCCACACACACTTCAGAATCGCTTCGATGGTCTGGGACAGCAAGTGAGCTTAGAGACGAGGACCAGTGTGGTGGGAATGGAAGAACAGGAAGGCCACGGATTTGATTTTGGATATGCTAGCTGCGATGTTCTTTGAAGACAGCCAAGAGGAGAGACCAAGCTAGCAGTTGGGTGTGCAGTTGTGGAGCTGAGAACAGACTGGGAATGCATTTGACGTGGGGCTAATTAATTAGAAAGCATTAAAAAAAGCAAAAATCTCGTGCCATCAAGTTGATTCTGATGGATAGTGGCCCTACAGGACAGGTTAGAACGTTCCCTTGTGGGTTCCAAATCTCTAAATATGTTTTTATCATTTGATTGGGAGCTCTTACAGATATTATAACAATCCATAATCAATTAGGTCAAGCATAATTGTACAATTTCTGCCACCGTCATTTTCTAAACATGTTCTTTCTTCTTGAACTCTTTGATAGTCAGCTTCCTTTATCCCTCCCGTGCTCACCCTACACCCCAGGAACCCTTATTGTATTATAAATAGTTATTATTTTATTTATCTTTGCCATATCTTACACCATCCACTGTATCTGTTCCCGTACAATTCTGCTGTTTGTTCCCCTTGAGGGGAGTTACACAGTCATTTTTGCTCTCGGGTACCCCCCGCCCCTCTTCCCATACCTCTGAGACTAAATCTTTATGGGAGTACAAAAGCTCATCTTTCTCCCATGGAGTGGCTGAGGGTTTGAGCTGCTGACCTTGCTGTCGGCAGCTCAATGGGTAATCACTGTGCTGCGGCCAACATCAAGACAGATGATCGCATCAGAGGAGGAAAGAACCTGGAATTGAATTTTGAGTAGCTAGTATTTTATGGTCAGAGGAGGCTACACCCCAAAAAGTTAGAAGAAGGGGCCATCAGAGAAGCAGAAAGGAAACAGGGAAGGGCAGTGTTAGAGATGGCAAGACAAGAAGAAACTGTCGGCAGGGTGCAGCCCTGCTGAGAGGGCAGGTAAGCCCGAGCCTGAAGGTACTCACCAGTCTGTGAGTGCAGATGGGTAGTGACTGACACTGAGGAACCAGGAGGCGGTGAGGCCGTGAAAGCAATGACCAAGAACAGCTTCCCAAGGAGCGTGGTTCTGTTGGTGTAGTCACAACTTCATAATTCAAAAATACTGATCAAATATCACTTCTCTTACGCTGTGTGTTCCAAGGATCTACTGATTTTGGAAATGTTACTTTCGTGGTTCCTGGGATTCACCCATATTTCTCCATTGGCTCGAACGCCCTGAATCATACTGAGCAGTACACGGAAGCTGCAGGTAAGGGGCAGGAAAAGTGGATGCTCTGCCTTTCTCCAATAGGAGTTGCCTTTCAGACGGTTGAGTTTAACCTGTCGTTATCTTACTGCATGACCTCACCTCAGATGATAGGATTTTGTGGAGAAGTTGGGGTGGCAAATTAAATACTGAGAAGTGAATAAATTCATATGTAATAAGTATGGGGGTATTTTTATTTATTTGTCTCTTATTTTGTAGGAGCACAAGAAGCTCAGTTCTACACTTTGCGGACGGCCAAAGCTCTGGCAATGACTGCACTGGACGTGCTCTTTAAACCAGAGCTGCTAGAGCGTATCAGAGAGGACTTCAAACTGCAGCTTCAGGAAGAGGAATTTTTACATACAGTAGACTAAAAGGAAGATTGGGGAGCCACTTAGGAATTACTAAGAAGCGATGACTTTTTCCTCTGATCATCTTGAATGAAGGAGGCATGCTAGCTTTTTAATCACAAAGGAATCAAATTGTTCTTACCTGAAACATGAGGATGTAATGTGTAAAAAATACATGATCACTTAGCTGAAGGGAGAATTTTTGGAAAGTTTTATTTGATAGAATTGTGATCTTTCAGAAACTGATATGTGATGGCATATCTTGGATGGGCTTTGGTTTACCAGTAATGATATTTTATAAATGTATTTATCTGGTTGTGTCAGTGCATGAGTTTGAAAAGATCCTAAGAGATTTGAAATTTCACATTCAGAATTGACATACAAGGAAAGAAGCTTTTGGCATTTTAGAAAGTGGGTTTTAAAATTCACATTCTAAATTCAGCAGTAGTTCGTTTTGAATGGGGAACCCTGATGGAGTAGTGAGTTGAACTGCCAACTGCAAGGTTAAGAGTTCAAAACTACCAGCTTCTCCGAGGGAGAAAGTTGAGACTGTCTACTCTCAGAAAGAGTTTCAGTCTCAGAAATGCACAGGGCCAGTTCAGCTGTGTTCTCTGAATAAGAATCAACCCAATGGCAGTGAGCGAGTTCATGCTGACTATCTACGATACCTGTTTTGGTTCAGAGCAGGTGTGGGGAACCTTTTTCTGCCATGGGCCATTTCGATGATTAGAACACTTAGTTAACTCACACCTAATGTGCTGGCTGCAGCTGCTTCTCTTTGGGGAGGCGTGTGATGTTAGTGCGTGTGATGTTAGCGGGTATTGATGATTGCCCTGAGCCTTACTTGACTGAGAGGTCAGATAGTCCCCACCCGGTTTAGAGAATCTCTGCATTATGGTAAAGGTGTGTTTTACATCAGAGATGGTGGAAGAAAGCAACTCAAAACTCTGGTGCAAAGACTAGCTTTAGTTCTGCCTTTTGAAGGAACGAGAGAAGGAGTGGCGCTGAAGTGTTGTTACTGTGTTACCATGTCCTGTAACAGGGAGGTAGAATTGATTCTTGCTGTAATCCGGGTGCCCAATGTGTTCTGGAAACATTTGCAGAGAGAAACAATAACGGTTCTTGTTTGTCTTGAATCTTCAGTGTCATATGACTAGTCCCCCTAACTTAATGAACTCTTTTAAGGTTTCTACTCAGAAGCCAGCCTGGTGGTGTGACAATATTGTAGTTGACTTGAATTCTGAGCCTGTGGAGACCCCATCCTGACTCAATGAATACTTACTAAAAGTTTTTCATGAGTATTATTCTGAGGTTGGTTTCTTGAACGTGGTAGAAAAGTGTGAGATAAAGGTAAAATGACTATTTTAAGCTGTGCATATACAAAAGCTCCAGTACCCTTTGTTTTAGAGCACATTCTCAATGTTGAGTATAAGTATTCCAAAATGATGAGACGGCTTTGGGGGTGGGGGTGGGTGCTGGGGGGATGGATACCACTTGGCCTGTAAGCATGTCACTTGGAAAATGAGAGTTGGGTTAGGCCATTTGTCCTTACAATCCTTTCCTAAAGTAATTTAAAGGTGCAAGGAACAAAGGATCAATTGGGGAGGGTTAATAGTTGAGACTGACGTTTCTTCCTGATTGGGCCTGCCCAGGCTGTTTTTATACAGGCAGAGCGCCAGCAATGGCTTTCACATGGGTAAGGCTTAAAAAAATGTAATTACACTGGATATGATCTGCAACACTGAAAATATTTTGTCTGGTCCTTTACAGACCAAAAAAGTTGCCGGTCATTTTCTGTGTACCTGTCAAATCCAGCCTCCTTCTCTTTGACTTACAACCTGGAATCAGATCTTCTCCAGGAGACAAGCTGCTGAGCGGCACCTGAGAAAGGGAGAGGCGAGGTCACGGGCCCTGCCATGGTGACCCTCACGTGGTGTCACGTGGTGTGGTCGGACTTTGTGCTCAAAACCGAAGGGAGCCAGAACTCACCGGGTCTGCCTTATTTTTCCAGATCCTTACAATTTCCCAGTGTTGACCGTCTTCCACTCTTCAGTTGCTCTCTCATAGTGGAAAATAGCTTCATTCTCCGTCTCTCGCATGTTCCAGCTTCCGCGGATTTTGCTTTACTTTGCTCTGAGATACAGCTACCCCATTTCCCTATACAAGCCAGTCTCCTAACTCTGCACATCAGCTTCTAGTGACTCCCCATGCCACCCTTTGTCTGATGACTCAAAATCAGTTGGTACATATTTATATTTTATATTCTAGTGAGGGTACCAATAACGACTGTTCTTTAGGCTAAGAATCTGAAACCTCTGATTATGTAAAGCAGAACTTTATTTTCTCTATTAACAATCCTATACATAGGTTTATCAGCTTTGAAGTTTAAAACTCCTGTACCCGAAGACCCGGTTTTATTTTCTAAAGCCGTATACATTTCTAGCTTGGTGATTGCTAACTGTGATGTCCCCGTACATACATGCACATCACTGTCTTGGTGAAGAGTCACAGTTAATTATTACTCAAAGGATTCGTATTTTGCATGTGGTTTTTATTAGCATTTGCTTGTGCCTCATAGACTTCTAAATGGACAAGCTAGAGAAAGGGAAGGTTGGCAACATACTGCTGCTGATTCATGTGCAGTTTGGATAAGCGTCAGAAAGAGGGAAAGATGTGGAGTTGCATCTGGCATGCAGGCCATTGGTATACACAGAGCACTTCTGTCTGCATCAACTCATGCTGGGAACAAAACTGAGTTACCACTAATATGTGGGTCAATTTTTATTCTCTTGAGTCTTTGCAGTATAATATTTTCCTTTCTCCCCCCTCCTCAAAAGGATATGGTCAAAATAGGGGATACTTTACTCATGATAGATACCTCTGTTTATAAACCTATGACAGGTTTATGGCAGACACAGAGGGGGTTGAGGCCATAAGCTCAGTAGTCAATGTGGAAGCAGATTGTTTTTCCAGATTTCACCAAGTTCACATCCTTTTAACTTAAAAAACCAAACTCACTGCTATCAAGTTGATTCTGGCTCATAGCGATCCTCTAAGACAGAGTTGGTTTCCGACACTCGATCGTAAGGGACTAGAAAACCTCATCTCTCCCTTGTAGATTAGCAGCCCGATACGGAACCCACCTCCCTCGCTGACTGGCGTCCTGTTAGTTCCGACTCTCAGTGACCCTATGAGACAGAGTAAGGCTGCCCCGCTTTGTGGGAGTGGAAAATCTCGTCTCTCTGCCTTGGAGCAGCTGATGGATTCAAACTGCTGGCGTTGCCCTTAGCACCCATTGTGTAATCACTACACCACCAGGGCCCCTTATTTAATCTTAGGTTGTGGTTATTTAATAGAATTCACATTTTAAGTACTCCTTTATGCTTTTTATATGCCGGTGAGATAGTTGAAGGAGCCATCCCGGTGATCCAGTGAGTGCTCGGCTGCTCCCTGGGAGAAAGGTGTGGCAGTGGACTTCTGTAACTGAGTCTGGGTGATCCGTGTTGCCCAACAGTCCCTTTCCGTTGGAGTCCTGCTCGACGGCAATGGGTTTGGTTTGGGATTTGGAGTTAGCTGAGACATATCTCTTAGAAGTGAACATGAATCAGTATTCAAATAAAGGCTGGAGACACCAGCCCTCATGTCCAGAGGAACCAACTCTAGCAGATCTTCATTCTACCATTTGAATGTAGGAAACCGCCTCCTTCGGGGTTGAAGCTCCATCATCTTTGCACTCATTCTTCAGGGGTATGTTTACTACGTGACTGCTAAATTAACCTTGACTTCAGCTACTGTGGCTGGTTGTGATGTACCATATAAGACGGTTGTGTATAGTTTATGATAAGGTGGTGTAATAGTTAAAGCTCAGTAATCAAAAGGTTCATTTGAACTTAACTGGTAACGCCAAGAGAGAAGACCTGGTGATTGGGTTCGGTAGACATTGCAGTGTAGGACACTGGAACCGTTCTATTCTGCCCTCTAGGGTCCCTGTGACTTGGAATCAACTCAGTGGCATAAAGCCACAATACTTAGCTTGCCTCAGAAAATCTATGATGACTTCTCAGTTATAGCAAATCCGTGTTAGATGGACCACTCATGAAACCCTTCCCATTTCATTGCCTGTAGTACATAATAGCTGGAGCACGCAGGATCAGTTAGAATATTTTGTGTGTTGTGAGTATGTGTGTAAACTTGTGTTTTGATTTCCCACATCCCTCCAGAGGAGTGTTTATTAATATAAGTTCTCACAAGATTTACTCCATGTGAGCAACACTGGAGTTGTGGGGACAAACCTGCTTGTCCTGGAAAATTCTGAGGAAGTGTTTCTGATATTTTGATCTAAGAGAAGAAACGTTAAACCTTTGTTAAAGGCTGATGGTCTAATTGTATAATGTTAAAGAACTCTGAAAATGTTTGTATTGTACACGGTCATTTCTACTTGAAGAGCATCTCTTTAGTCTTTTGGACTAAACTCTCACACTAAATTTTTATTGTGAAACAAACCAGTTCTTTGTGCTAGCCAGCGACTCTTTATAAACTGTTAGATCATGGCAAATTACTTCTTTATTTTTTACATACTTCAGCATGCTTTTTACACTACAATTGTGTAGTTGAGGATGACACATTTTGATTTGTATAAGGTTCATATTTTTAAATAAACAGCCTCTGCATCAGATTAGAGTAATAGTAACATTTAATACATACATAATTAAAATATGTGAAAAACCTGAAATGTTAATAAATATGTATATCCAAGAACGGTTGTATTGTGGACCTTCTTTAACAAAAGACATTTGATATAGTGAAAATACATTAAGATGGAACTATAAGTACACAAGTATAGTGTGGTATACTGTAATCTCATTAAGTTATTAGTCTTACAGATGTTGGCTTGCTTTTAAACTATGAGTGTCATGTATTCATAGGAAAAAGTTTTAAGAATGATTACATCCTTTTGTTTAAAAATGATTTTCCTAGTGTAACTTGCCAATTTAAAGTGTATGTAAGAAGAGTTAGATGTACAATTATAGTATTGAACTTTTAAAAATTTGCCAATGAAAAGTAGTTCTGTGTAATAACTCAATCAATTTAGATTTTTTTCACTGGCTAAAAAAATAGATGTATCCGGTGAAAAAATTACAAGTATCCATGTTTCTATATTTAAACTAGCTTTCAAAATAGATTCAAAACTCTCTTTTCCAGTGATTAAAATGTAAGATGAAAACATCCAATCACCTTAAAAAATAGACCTCAGAAATATAAAATAAGAAAGACTATCAGGTCAGGGTTTTACATAGATAAGCAGTGTTTTGGGTCAAAGAATAAGTAGGTATTGCCCCCCCGGGATGCATTTGAGAGAGTTAGAACTTTCACCTATTTGTTAGCATAAGAGAATGGTGAGCAGGTCAAAGCCTGCATTCCCCTGAGTCTCATTTATTCAAGGAGTACTAAAGTTTAAGCTTATGTCATCTGACCTGCTAACATTGTGTGCTGTTGTATAAGAACCTGAAAGAGCTCATCAGAAGCCCAGTGCCCCACCAGCCTATGTGATCACAAGGTGTCGAAGGGATCAGGTGT